ATGAATTTAGATCATGGTTAAATGATGAATCATAGTCATAAAAATGTCATTTAAAAATTTTGATGACTTTATAAATTCTCCTAAATCCTCAGTCTTTTGATTTTTTTTTTCACTTTGTGGAATGTAGCTTGTTGGAAAAAAATTAACTCATAAAGACCTGAGCATTAAACACTTGGTTTCATTTTCAATGCTTGAGTAATATACAGTGCCCAAAATTTTACATACCTTTCCTTATTGAACCATCACAACATTCGTATGAAAAAAATACAACTACCCTTATTTTACACCAAGGTTCTGAAGACCTAAACAACTTGCTCAAAGTCACACAGGGTTGCAGATGACATTTGAACTCAGGTCTAAATGCCTACACAGTATAAGATAGAAGAGTTCTATACCTTCCCTCCAAATCACCCAACTTTCAGTTAGTCCAAACACCTAGAAATCTACACAGCTATGTGCCTTTTCAAATAACTCCCAAAATATGAGTTCAGTAGATCCACCAACATCTTTTGACCATGTGATATATACTAGACACTAAACATAAAGAGGTGAATAAATTTGATTTCTGTTCTGAAGGATCAACGAACAAATGTACTGACAGGGTGGCAATGTTTAGAGAAGAAAAACACATCTGAATTTTATAATTCTCTTATCCACAACTATAAAACCCAAAACTTCTGAAAACTGAAAATTATTTTGTAAATTGTAAATAATCTGGCACCTATAACTTACCTGAATCAGCATTAATCTGTTTGTTAGGACAATAGGTTTTTATGGCCTTCAGTGTTTTTCCTAGATAATTTGTGCCATATTATATATATCATACCCAAAAGAAAACAATAATATTTTTAAAATGCATCATGCTCCAAGAGTGGGGTAAGAGGATTATAGGCCAATCCATGAACCCAATACTAGGGGTAGAGTGGTTAGTATGGCTTCAAAGTCCATTAAAAAATAGAAGAGAAAGGCAGGGCTACAAGGAATAAGTACTATTAGGTCTTATTGCTGAAGCATAAATAAGGATTTGTCAGGTGGCCAAGTAAGATAAAGAATGCAGAGAAGTAAATGAAATAGCACCACCCCCCCAAAAAAAAAAATCTTAAGAAAGTAATATGTGGTCAGATAAGGAATATAGATAGGGAAGTGGCAGAAGAGGAATGTAGATAGGGAAGTGGCAGAAGAATGAAGTTAGATGGGTAGCCAGGGATCAAATCTCCAAGATCTAATGAGATGTCTTAGGAAGTTTAGATTTGGCCCAGATGGCTCAGGCAAGACCTGGAAGGATTTTAGGCTGAGAGAGGCAAGGTGACTCTACATTCCAAATGCCAGGACAGGAACTTGTTTTTTTCCACTATCCTGGCTTTATTGATAGCACAACAATTCACTCAAAAGTATCCTGATTTTGGAGAAAGATTACATGATCTTCCAAATGATAGAACCAGATGTCAATTTTAGAAAAAAAAAAAAAATCAGCAGTAGGGAAAATGGAAGTAGGTTCAGAAGATTTCCACAGAGCCCTCCTGAATGACAAAGTATGAATACCAAATCCATCTCTTGGGAACAATGACATATAGGGATTTTATAAAACACTTGTGGGAAGAGTATATAAGTTTCTCTCAAGCCTGATCCCATGAGAAAAAAAAAATGAACCCATTTTCAGTTAGAGGCGTGAAACTGCTCACACCCCCACCCCCATCCCATGCGGTCCTGGAATTTTCCTACATCTTGTTTTTGGCTCCAGCTGCACAGGAAAAAACCTGTTCAAGAAGGTTTTCTTAAAGTAAAATATACAGAAAAGTATAAGTAAATAAAGCTGAAAATACATGAAGACTTATGAAGCTTAGACTCTTTAGTGTTGATATAACAGAAAACCACAGATCAAGAATTTATAAAGAAAACAAATCTATTTCCCTTAGTTCATAAGGCAGGGAAATCCAGTATCAGGTATGGCTTTCATGTTGTGGTAATCCCATAGCAGAAGGTGACAGGGCAAGAGGGCACAAGAGAACCAGAGACCAAGAGGGGGCTAAGCTCACTTGTGTAACAAGCCACTCTCTTGATAACTAACCCACTATTAGGATAACAACATAATCCACTCAGGTAGGCAGAGCTTTCAGTAAATGAATCACCCCTTTATTAGGTGCTGCTGCATTGGGAATGACAAATCTGACACATGAACATGAGGGGACACTTTTAAACCAGAGCAGAAGACATAATTTTATTTTTTTATCCATATTTAAACCATAGGTACTAATCAGGAACTAAAACTAATCTCTTTTCCTCAAATTATACTGACAAGTAATAAAAAAAAACTATAAAATACGAAATGTGGTCCTACCCTTCTCATCAATGCAATATAAAGGAGAAATGCCAATAGTTACTTTTGTAAGCAACTAGAAAATGAAGAAAAATATTAATGTTTGTGTATCACAGCATGTGAAAATTCTTATTCATATAATTAAGTAGCAATAAAAATTTGGAAATGTTTCAATTTCTGAATGGATTTCCATTAGCTACAAATTTTATTTTACCAATTAAGAAAATGGATATTAAAACAAGGTATCATCTCCTCATGAGGTTAGTAAACATTAACATACAACAATATTCCTGTTAAATTGTGGGAACTGGTAAACTTTTCTGTTGTTTTTGTGACAGCAACTGTTGTACTCGTTTTGAAAATAGCTATACAAAAATTATATAATGCACAACAAATGACCCACCAATTCTGTTTCAAAATATTTACTTCAGAAGGACATTCACAAATATATGCACAAGAAGAAAGGGAGACACAAGGATGCTCACTGTAGCTATGTTGCAGTATGAAACATTGGAACATAAATATCCATCATGACTAATTGTTACGGAATGTTATATATCAGATGAAGTTTGACCTCAAATATTGGTGAATAAAAAGTAAAGCAAATTAAAGAATAAACACATAGTAAGCTATTTATGTTTTAAAAAGAAGGAGAACATTATATAATTGTATATACTTATTATTTTATAAGAGAGATTTTGTTTGTTATTATTGGGGCTGGACAGGCACACTTACTTGGTATCAGTGGTTACCTCTAGGGAGGGATGGAATCTCTTAGACTTAGTCATGTTTAAAGGAAATTAGAAGCTATTCTGTATTTAGTTTACTAGCTGCCATACCAAAATACTCCAAACTGGAGATAATGAAAACTTGTACTTGAGGATAGAAGGGGATGGTAAAGCTGAACTCCACTAAGGCCCTTCCTTGGCTTGTAGATGACCATCATTTTCCCTGTGTCTTCAGATAGTTTTCCCTCCATGTGTTATCCTTAACCTCCTCCTCTTATAGAACACAGCAGTTTCATTGAATTAGAGCCAACTCGTATGACCTCATTTTACCTTTATTACTAATCAAAGGGCCCTATCTCCAAATACAGTTGTATTCTGAGTTACCAAGGGTTAGGACTTCAAGATACAAATTTAGAGAGGAATTATTACTTCTCTATCTTACTATAACTCTCTAAAGCCCTAGTATACTTCCTTTGGTTGTCATGTCACTAGCAGTTAATTTTATTGTCAAGAATGCATGCTTTACTCTCTAAGCTGAGTATGTCTGTATAATATTTTTTTTTAAGCTTGTACTCAGACCTCATTTTTCTACTCCCAATACTTATTTATATTTTTCCAGCACTAGCTTTAACTTCAAGCTAAATATCATTAATTGCTGTGCCTTAAACCCTGAGGTTACTGGTCACCTTCAAGTTAAAACTTGTGCTCCTTCTATCTAGAATAAAGAATTTCTAGTGCTTATAAAAAAAAAAAATTTAGAGAGGAGACAGACACTATTCAGCCCATAATATATTCCTAACATTTTAATTTAAAATAAACAAAAGAGATTGGATTTATATTTGATGTTGAGTGCAAACAAAGTTGTGAAGAAAGGTGACTCAAATCTAACAACATCAAAAAAATCCTTCATAGGAAATCTATTTGATTTTCAAAGTTATAAGAATACTAAATAATCAGATTGCTAACATTGGTTGCCGGGTTTCTGTTCTCGTGACTAAAAGGCTCAGGAGTCACTCCAGGTAAACTGGGGTAACTGGGCTATGCAAAATAACCACACAAGAGACACAAATACCTTTTTCTTTGGGGTCACTGTGATGGCTCCTCTGACCTTAAGGGTCTGCAGGAAGAGAGAGAGCGACAGTATACATGCTGACCCCTTTTATTGAGGAGAAGCTATTCAAATGAGGCAAGGAGTCAGGTTTCAGGGGGCTGAGTCTATCTTCATGATTTCCACTATCAGCAGGTTGACTGACATCTGGGTAGGCCACACCCAAGGGCACAGTAAGAGAAGGGGACATACACAAGGCACTTCCATGGAAGATTCTATCCTTAACAGGGCAAGGGGTATATTACAAAGGAACAGGTGAGCATAGCTTCACCCAAGGGGCTGAAGCAAGACACACCCATGCACAAGACACGACCCTCAAACCCAAGAAGGGTGGGGAAAGCTCTGCCACATTTCTGTGACTGAGCGCCTCAGCACTCAGCCAGGGAGTGTGACTCAGTCACATGTAAGGTTGGTCTCCCACAATTGGTTATCTTAGGAAGGTGAAAAACTTGGGAGCAAAGTTATCAGAAAGGATTTGTGAAGTTGAAAATACAACTAATAATATAACCCATTCATAATTAGTAATGTAAATGTTTACACTAATATTTAAGATCATTTTCTGCACAAAGAATGAGAGGGTTCATCTTGAAATCAAAGATGAAGCAAATAGAAGCATTTCCTGTTGTTGCACCTTTAGAGTTTAATGTTGCAGTTACATAGTTGGTTGTAAATTGTCAATCATGTTTTTTACAACTCTTGAATCCCTTGTATTTTTTAAATTATATATAATGCTTTTCCTTATATAACTGGGATGAAACTTTTCAAATATCTATAATAATCTCACCATGTCTGCCTCTTTATGTATAAGATTCATTAGTATTTCTTTATGTTGTCATTTTTTTTCCAGATATTTCAGTCAGCCTATTAGCAGTTGTCGTCAGCTTCTGTGGCCTGGCCTTGCTAGTTGTCTCACTTTTTGTCTTCTGGAAGTTGTGCTGGCCATGCTGGAAAAGCAAACCTGTGACCCCCAATGTCAGTACCCTTCCACAGAGCATTTCAAATGCTCCTACTGAAGTTTTTGAGACAGAAGAGAAAAAAGAGGTTAAAGAAAATGGAAAGCCAGCACTAAAAGCTATTGAGCCTGCAATAAAAATCAGCCACACTTCCCCTGATATCCCAGCAGAAGTCCAAACTGCTTTAAAAGAACATTTAATTAAACATGCACGTGTGCAAAGACAAACTACTGAGCCTACGTCTTCATCCCGGTAAGGAAAGATTAAATGTGTAAAACTCTGTGTGTGTGTGTGTGTGTGTGTGTGTGTGTGTGTGTGTGTGAGAGAGAGAGAGAGAGAGAGATTTCAGAAGAGTAAAAAATCTTAAGTGGGAAAGTAGAAGTAAAAAGAGGAACAGGAAGGATGGGAAAAGCATAGGAAACACATAATTCCATAAAGAGGGAAAGGTAGGACAGTGTAAGTAGGAGCAGGTGAAACTGAAGGCAGAGAAGGAGAAAGGGGGCAGTCACATGAAAGAACTTGGTATAATTTGAGGTATTAGTAAAATCATGTCACACAGATTATTATTTGGCTCTTTCCTTTGAAATATCACTGGTTGATAGCTGCTACTGTAGTCTTTCAATTTATTTTATTAATACATATAAAAGTAACCATTTGAAATATATATCATGTAAGAAAAACAAAAAAAAAGGTCAGGAAATATTTAACAGTTCATAATCACAACTAAGAGACTAATGTTTAGGTTACAACTATCTAGCACCTACATCATGAACACAAATTTATGGAAAGTGGCATTGTTTATTTGAGCTCAGGTAGACCAAACTTACGCTGGACAGTTCCACAGGAGCCTAATATTGGAGCACACAGAGTGGAGGGTTGCCCACCCAGGAGCCAGTTTGCCTTCACAAAATGCACTTTACCTCATCCTGGGAGGATCAGCCAGTTTGTTTGAATTTCTTTTAAAAACTGCCACAGCATATTCAAATTGTATTAACTGAAAAAAAGAGATTCTGGCAAAGAGGTGTTTTGTTTTTTTTTCCTGCTAAATATAGTCATCAATTCTTAAAAAAAATGACATCATGATAGTAACATTTTCTCTGGTTCCTAGAAGTAGCAACTAGTTTTACCCAGGGGTAAATTCAATGGTACTGGGAGGTTACTAATGTTTTCTGCTAACCAAATTACTTCCTAATCTTACCTCCTACCCCTGTAAATGTAGGGTGCATGTGTGCTTTCTGACGTGACATGTTTTCACAGGTTGAGAAATCTATCAAAGTGAAAACTGGGTAATGTTTGCTACTGGGATTGGTAGACTATTCAATATATCTCTTGTTTGCATAAAAGAGGATTGTATTTATAAATAAATACACTCCATTCTGCAATATTTTCTAGAGGAATCAGGATAATTGTTACCACTGAAGTGAGGATATTTGGGATAGGAAGTTGGATGGATGGAGGTGCCTTTTCCATATCACGCTTTTCTGTACTACTGAAATCTTATAATCAAGGCATGCCTCGTATGAATTGTTATTTTGACTTGTTTTCTGGACAGTGGCCTTTAGTTTGATTTTAATGTTTCTTTTTATGAGTTTTATATAATGTAATCCAGTAAATACTAACTTTAATATATATTTACCTATAAAATAATTATCCAATATACTCTTTCCTACATATTCTATAAATGAAAATAAAATGCCTTGGAGTAAATCTCATTTTTCTAAAACATTGGAGATATATATATGTAAAAATATTTTATATATGATTATGAAAATATTATATATAGATTTATAGAGAGATTTTAACTGCTTTAAAATGACCTCATGTGGCTCCTCATTATCATTATTACTATCCTTTTGAAAACTGTGAACAAATATGATATTTAATATCCAAAAAGTCTTAAGATATAAAAATTTTAGGATAAAAATGTTGAATTAAACAACAAAACATTTTTTAAATAGCGTAGTTCCCACTTACGCACAGGGGAGGTGTTTCAGGGGATACCTGAAAGTATTAAGCTCTATAAAAATATGTATTTTCCTATGCATACATATCTATGATAAAATTTAATTCATAAATGAGGTATAGTAAGAAATTAACAGTAACTGATAATAAAATAAGATAATGATAGCATCATACTATAATTTAAACTATATGAATATGGTCTCTCTTAAAATATCTAGTTGTACTGTATTCACACTTTTTATCACATCACATAGGCATTGAAATAACAATGCCTATGTGATGTGATAAATAAGGTGAAAAATGTAGGCATTGTGAGGTAATGTTAGGTAACTATAAGGGTTACTCAAGACTGTGGATTTGATAACCAAGATGACTACTAAGTGATTAAGAAGCAGGTAGTATATATAACATGGATACTCTGGACAAGGAAATAATTTACATCCTAATGGAAAAGAATAGTGCAAGATTTTACCACACTACTCAGAATGATGCACAAATTAGTACTCATGAATAGTTTATTTCTGGAATTTTCCTTTCAATATTTTCAGACCTCAGTTTATCACTATGTGAAACCAAGGATAAAGGTGGGAGATTATTCTATGGACAGCTACTTTGAAATATGTATCAGTTTAGCTTTTAGAATTAGTCAATGCTTAGTTGGTAAGTACACTTCATATTAGAAAACTTTAAGTCAAATTGAGGTAATCAGTGGTTTTTAGAAGCTTTAGAAAAACAAAATTCTATCTCAAAAATATTATCTGTTGATTAAAAATAGACCATTTATCTGATTACCCTTAGCTAGAGAAGAATGAAAACATATGTGTGAAGATTGGGGTTTGGATGAAGAATTGGCTTCTGGAAATAATATGCACTAGCAACAAAGATACATCTGTTTAGTCCAGATTTCTTAGTAATTATGTGAAACTGAAAACATCAGAAAAAAGTTTTTATCTCAATTAAAAAAGCAAAGTTATATTGCACATTTGGTATTCTTTAAGAGGAAAAACACAATACAAATTCATAGTTTTCTTAGAACTTTGATACTTCATCTGCTCTTTGAGTTCCCTTGTTTATTTGGGTGGCTGGGAAAGGAAGAAGAAAAACATTTTTGAGCACTTACAACTTAGTCACTGTGCCAGTGTATCCTTCCTTCTAATCCTTCTGTATGATTTAAGGATTATTAATTATCCTCATTAGTTGTGAGTTAACTGGAGTCCAGAGAGATTTAAAAATTTGCCTGAAGACACGCAGCTACAAGAGTAAGAATGCAATTTTAATCAGATTGACAGAATACAGTTTAAGTTTTAAAGTCCATGAGAGGTAGTTTTTCTGTAACTGAGGATGTTGGTTACAAAATTTGCTGAGGACAAGCAGTTAGTCCTCAAAGAAGAAGAACCTCTTCCTGCTCATTCTACTCAATTAGAAATTGGGGATTGTATATGGTTATTGTGAATGACCACAGTCATGATTTTAAATCTGTTTGGCCTTGGAATGAATTCCTTGTATAAAACTTGATTATTCCTACTTCTCAAAAAAACCTCATCTACACTAATTACTTCATCATCCTAGAAATTACCTTTATATAGAGAGGAAGAGGAAATTGCAGAGTTCATTATGCAGTCCACTTGGACACAGAGATGGACAGTATGTTATCACAAATCAGATTATTCAGTTCAAATGCCAACTTTTCCCTGAGATGTGACAAAATCAAACCTACTTGCAAAAATACATGTGCACACACAAACCAAATTTAACTTCAAGACTTGGTTTCCATGCCTTGTTATCCCCAGCTCTGCTCAGCTGTTGGGACTCTCTTTCATTTGGCTAAGACAGCAGATGATAACATCCCATTCTTCTGAATTTCATTTGTCTCTATACTGAAATAACACTTTGATAGGTTTAAGTTTAGTGACATCACTGGAAACTGTCACAGTTCCCAATTTTTCATCTCCTTTTCAAATGCCTGTAATCCAACGTACCACCACCCATCAGGCAACCAAATGACCCAGTCAGTATGTGTGTATTTCTTTTTTTACATTAGACATGCTTCTAATGTCCATCTTGATTGATTGTTCATTCATCTAATAACTTTATTCAACTAATATGTTTACTTATGGATAGAGTCATTGTATTCTGAACACTCTACTCTGAAAACTCTAGATGCCATAATTTTCTATACAGTATGGAGCTAAGACATGGGATACCAACTTCAGTATAAGGAATTATAAGTGACAACTATGTGATGGAGCATGTGCGATTCAGAGGCTAGAGAAATTATTTCCAGCGGAGTCATGGAGAAACTCCATTACACTGAGGATAGAGAAACATAGGAATTCACATTCTGTACATGACAATGCAAGAGGAGGGGCATCCCAGATAGAAACATTTTTATGTGAAAATTCATAGAACAGGTAGTCTTGTTAAGAAAACCAAGTAAGCTACCTGGATTAGAAAAGAGATAAGGAGAGAAATAATGAAAGATACAGTCAGCTGGAATTAAATTATAAGGAGTTCTTGAAACCATGGCTAAGATGTTCCAACACTATCCTGTCAAAAATATTTTCACTACAAGAGTCTCTTGGGTATGAGATATGTTTCACAATAATTACTTTGGCAACAGTTTATAGAACACACTATAAGGGAAGGCATCTATGTATTTTAAAACTAATATAGTGTGTAGTTCAGGCATAATTAAAATCAGGAAATATCAAACATCAACAAAAAGAAATCTAAGAAAATTTATAAAGGAAGAGTCTAAGGTCCCTTATTTTTTTTTCAAAATCTAGAAAATTTTATCTTAGCAGACAATACTGATACAAAAGGAAATGAAAGTAGAATTCTCTGCAGAATAATAGACTTATTGATTATGTCTTCATTTCTTTTGATTCTTTTACCTGCTTTTTGTTTTGTTTATTTTCATACATGTACGTAGGGTAATGATGTCCTTCTCATTCCACTGTCTTTCCTATCTCCATACCCCTCAACCCTCCTTCCCCTTTGCCCCATTTAAAGTTAATCTATTCCTCCCATGCTCCCCACCCCATCTCCATTATGAATCAGCATCCTTATATCAGAGAGGACATTTGGCATTTGTTTTTTTTGGGGGGGGGATTGGCTTACTTCACTTAGCATTATATCCTCCAACTCCATCCATTTACCTACAAATGCCATGATTTTATTCTCTTTTAATGTTCAGTAATATTCCATTGTGTATGTATACTGCATTTTCTTTATCCATTCATCTACTGAAGGGAATTCTAGGTTGGATCCACAATTTAGCTATTGTGAAT